ACATCAATGCCACCTTCCTTCTCGCTGCCACCCCGCTCGTGAATCTTTCGCTGCTTCTGTTGTCTAAAACAACCCCTCCCTTTCCCGACGTGCTCAATTGATCAGCGTCGGTGGGTGCCATCGTTGGCGGTGTGATCGGCGCGTTGCTCTTGATCGTCGCCGTGACCGTCTTGGTGATCTTGTTCAAGAAAGGTCACCTGAAGCGTTGCGCATGCTGCGAGCCCGGTGCTCCTGCTCCCGCCCCTGCTATGCCGGCGCCGTCAGTTGGTAAGGCGTATCCCGAGGTGCACTCTCCCGCTGCAGTTCCGCCTCCCCCCCCTCCTGCGTATGAGGATCGTGACAACGCTCAGCTCCCCAAAAAGTACCCGGCGCCTGCAGAAACTGCCGCTCGTCTCCCTTACAACGAGTATCCCGCGCCGGCGTAAGTGCAGGGGGTTGTACGGTCGCGGTGTGGCGAGCGTTTCACCATCGTGCCTTTTGTATGTGGTTTGTTATTGACCGGTGTATTTTTCCCAGCAAGCATCCTCTTGTTGGCCGAGATGGGTGATGTGTTGCATCCATGTCTGCCTACAAGAGATGCGCCTAAGTGGTTTCTTTTTGTTGTGTTTTCGGACTAGGAATGTGTACGGAGCGTTTGAAATGTACATTTCCTGTTTTTTCTGGACAAGTTGGAAGACACCAACGGCCAACGATGGATGTCGACTAGGTTTTTCAATGGCTCGATCGAGTGGAATTCACAGGGGGTCACGTCAGCATGTTCACGTTGGTACTTGGTTCCGAATGTTACAGGGTACCCGGCAGAGCTATCCATCCCGCCTGTTGCTGTCCTCTGGACGTGGGCTTTGGGTATATCGCCTGTTCAACATTCTACGGGCATCGGTTGACCGGCTCCCGCGGCTATGACTTGTCAGGGGTTCTTTTGCACTATGGTGGAGTTTGTTTGTGAGCCACGCCATGAGTTTTATTGCAATACTGCCTACCATCCAAGTTCCGTGCCTACAAGGTAGACGTCTTTTCACCTTGTTGCGTACGCCTGAATCATTGGGGCCGTAGTGAGTCTTTGCTAAAGTTGACACGTGTCCTGCTTGGAATCGTGAGAAAAGTGGTACCTGATCCTTACAGCTTCGTTTCCGTCCTCCTGCGGCGGCTCACTAGTCACTGCAGAGTTATATTGGCTTGAATTCCGCCTCAAATCGAGGTTGACGGTCGGCAGCGAATCACGGAGGAATCGGTATGTGAAGTTTGTATGGTGCCAGAGTGTGCGCATGTTCTTCTTCTGGAGGTGGAAACCAAGCGGAGTTGAGAAGCAAAGGATGTTGTTAAGTTCTTTCCGAGGATGAATCGTGCCGCAGAAGAGACTCAGTTGTTGTTGTCTTCACATTAAAACCGTTCCGATCTCTCTCTACCCAGTACCTTCGTATGCCCGTACTGATCCAACACTCGACGCAGTCGATTCCCGTGGTCGCAGGCTAACTTACCCTAAACGGTACACTCAAATAAAATGGCCCCGAGGGGTCCGCAAGTCAATAGAAATCAACGACAAATATTCTGGAGCCCTCTGCTCCCTCTGCGCTCTATGCGAGGTAATAACTGAGACTAGGAGTCACCATCACGGGCCGGAGAGAATGAGATACACCCCCTTTGTTCAATCTTGGTACTTCACAACGCAAGCGGAGACAAGGCCATCTGGCACAGAAAAAGAGAAGAAAAAGAAAGGACACAGTAAGGAAAGCGAAAATGATATAAAAAGAGCGACGACAGAAAGGGACCAGGCCGAAAATAACAAGAAATAAGAGACAGAAAAAGGCACACGGTTGAGAGACCACTAACGACCAGCAAACACGCATGGCCACCAACCAGCGATACATTGTAATGGTACGTCATCACTAGTGGGTTGGTGCAATGGTGCAGCGTTGGGAGGAGGGAATTGACTAAAAGAAATTCAATCCGGCACGTATCGCGCCACTCGGTCCGTCTCTTCTCGATTGCTTTCTTCCCTCGCCGTCTCGTCCGTCTCCTGCCCCCCTCCCGTCCANTGTAATGGTACGTCATCACTAGTGGGTTGGTGCAATGGTGCAGCGTTGGGGGGGGGGGAATTGACTATGAGAAATTCAATCCGGCACGTATCGCGCCACTCGGTCCGTCTCTTCTCGTTTGCTTTCTTCCCTCGCCGTCTCGTCCGTCTCCTGCCCCCCTCCCGCCCCATTGGTTGGTGGCTTGTGGTTTCGTTTGAGCGCCCGTTGTCGGCTGGCCTCTTCTTCCTTCTCGTGCCAGGAGGTCATGAACCTCTCAGCTCCCTGCAGCACCGCCGCATGCCAGGGTACTCCCCCCTCTACCTTCGCGGCTTCCGTCCACTTTAACTTCGGTGCCGTGTCTTTCGGTACCGGGATTCCGAGACAACATGGATCGGTTTTCGTAGATCCGTGGTCGGCCCCGAATATCGTCAGGTCTTCGAGCACACGCTTCGGCCAGTTCTGTTCCTGTCCCCCCCTACGTCGCTTCTCCCCCCCTGCCAGTTCGCCGAACATCAGTCGTTTCGGGAGTCGCCCGTCCGGCTGCCTTGCCAATGCTCCCGCGAACAGTCACAGTGTGGGTTGTTGTTTCCGTCCTATTTATTATGGCGACAGTCCGCATTTTTCGTGGTGCGACCTGTCCCACGTTGCTCAGTGAATGTGGAGGTACTGCTGCTACACTTTTCAATGTATTTTAGGTATAACTACAACGATGTTGGGTGACGGGAGGGGAGAAACATCGGGACTTTTTTTTTTGTTTATTTACTTTGTCGTACTCGTCTTTCCCTTTGCGTTTGCGGTACGTGCTGAATATTTGTTTTTTTATCGCGAGAAGGGTCCAGCCGTCCCTTTCCCTCGTCTACGGTGCAAACGCCAAAGGTACTCACGAGAGCTTTCCGGCTTTTTTTCGCGTTCACCAGAGTTGCAATTTTCAATCCTAATGGGTATTCGATCTCACGACTTCGTCACTATTGTAGCGGTTTGGAGGTTACCACTAGACCACCGGGGCGACTGATGGCCTTGAGAAATCCCGCACACATTGGTAGTAAGTGTTTCTCATCTTTCGCACGGCACACACTCCACGGACGGATAATAGAGAACGCACCATTCTGTGCAGGGTCGTCGCGTCGACTAGATGAGGTACAGCATCAAGTTCGTGGGTATTTCTCTGGAGTTGCAAACACGGGAGTGTTGACCCAACTAGAGGATGAGAGGGCCTGGAAAAGACGACAAGAGTTCTCAAACTATTAATTCAAGTGATGATATTGGGGAGTTTCGGAAATATGATTCGTTTTGCCCAGGCAGACAAAATGCCCAGACAAAAGTGCCCAAAGAAATTGGCATCAAAAAGATCCGAAAAGAGGCTCAGATTTATTTTCGGCATGACGTGGGTACGGCCCGCCGCTGATTGGCCGAAAGACTCGCGCGCGCCGTTCCCCACGCCTCTTCTTCTCTCAAGCAAGAAAATAGGCTTGCTTGGGTGGGTGCTGCCGTCTATCATCCAAGATACCAGGCGCATCCAGCGGGGGTGTTATTACCGCAGAGAAGCACCCTGTCAAGGTTTCTTGCAAGCAAACTCTCAGCCGCTCAGGTGGCGTCCTGCGTCAATCAACCGAAAGAGAGTGGCGGCGGTCAGCAGCAGCCAGCCAGCCAGTTGCAGCATCAGCAAGCAACAGCAACAGAGGCTTCAACCTAGAACAATCTCCCCTCACACAGCGATTTTTTAAGCTGCATTCCAAACCGCAACAGCTGTGTACAGGAGATGGCGCCGATAGAGAGTAACACAAGGCAACTTTTGGGCCACCTCCCAGAAGTTCGAGTGACCTACAGCTCATATGGTATGGGTGTTTTCCTGGACTCGTTGTAGGCAAGAAAGTTCCGTTTTTTGAGGCTACTGGTGAATGTTGTTTCATCCCACCTTCCCCTCGGTTCTTTCCACAGCGATCACCACATACCTACAAATAGACGCACACCGCCCGCATCGGAGGAGGAGCAGGTCTGTCCGTCCGGTGGTGGTGACATTAGGCTTGGACGAGTCTCTACCATGCGTTGCCATCTCTTGTGGTTGTTTGTCGGCCGTACTCCGCGTACTTATCGGGACTTGTTTGTGTAGTGTATTAACTTCAGACGGTGAGACAAAGCCCGTACCCAGGACGCTGTCGTGCTCGGAAAGGAGGAGGAGGGAGAGAGAGAGTAGCAGCACGGCTGCTACAGTCAACAAAGGGGGTCCCGGTGCTTCATCACCGTACCCCTACCGTAAAGGTTCTACACCATCTGCGTCACACTTGTGCATACGGGTAATGTATCCACCATGTCCGTAGACCCACGAACACCCTCCTCCCTGGTTCTTCACGCGAGTGACTAACCATCAGTGGGGCAAAAACACCCCGGATACATCAATAAAAAACCATACGGTGGTGGAGGGGAAACCCGGCCCCCGGGCAAAACCCCTCCAAAGAAAACCCTATCCAACACAAAAACCATTGCCATCACGGCGGATGCACAACGGCCGCACTTATCAGAAAGGCCAAGGCGAAGACAAGATCTCAAGGAAATACGTTCCCCCGGACGATGGTCTCCCAACGCCCCCTACTGCTGCCATGGGTACACAGACCGCGACAGTAATGCGACTTTCCCGCATGGTAAACACGGCCGCTCCCAAGTGCTGAAAACTGCTAGCTACTGCGGCAAATTCATCAACTTGCGCTGGTGGTACTGCAGACTGCTCTTGCTAAGAGCCTTGGTAAGCATATCGGCATGCTGCTCCGACGTCGACACAAACTTGATCGAGATTTCCCCCGACCTAAACAATCCACGAATGAAGTGGTACCGCACGACGATGTGCTTGCTACGCGCTGAGCTAAGGGGGTTCTGCACCGAAGCCATAGCCCCCTGATTGTCCTCAAGGACCTGAATGCTGCTGCCACTGGTCTCTGGGGCACTAAACGAAAGCACTGCACGCACAAACAAAGCTTCCTTCACACCCTCCCCGGCAGCAATGTACTCTGCCTCCGTAGACGACAGAGATACGATAGCTTGCGTCTTGCTACCGTGGCTGATGTCGGTCCCTCCAACCGTTGTTGCCAGCCCTGACACCGAACGCCTATCCTCAGCGTCGGCGTAGCTAGCGTCCACGTACACCTCCAGCCCCAACCCCGATCCCCGTTTGTAGGTGATCCCGAGGTCCCTCGTCTCTTTGAGGTAGGCGAGGATCTTCACGATCGCCTTTCAGTGCCTCTCGGCAGGGGCATGGGCGTGGCGCGCTACCGCACGCACGGCAAACGAGATGTCCGGGCGCGAGAACGTCGACACCCACACCATGCTGCCGATGGCCTCCCTCACCGGCGACTCCCCTCCACTCTCGTCATCCCGCTTCGGTCCTATGTCGGCACCAGGGGAAGCAGGGATGGAGGAGGTCGACTGCACATCAAAGCGATTCACGATGCTGTCAATGTACGCGGTTTGG